TATATCCCAAGTCAATGATTCCGACGTTCGGATTTGTGGCCGAAAATGGTAGGAGTTGGGAGGCATGAATCCAATAGTTGAATCTGATCATTGAATTCTTGCTTCCAATATTCTAATAATTTCTAAAGTTTTTCGATCGTATTTCATTCATCTGAGTAACTATAGCAAGGGAATACTAAAGTATACTCATTTATTAATTCAATATCTTGATCATCAATAGGCTATCGTCATTTTTTTTAATTATTCATCGTTCTTCAACATGCCATACGATAAAATAAATATGACATGAGTTTTGCCTGTTTCTAACAATCTGATGATTCATTGTTACATTAAGTACAAAATTTAGATGAGTATAATCCTGAAAAGTAAAGAAACAAATTGAACTTAGAATTACGATTATATAAAGGAAAAAGATACATAATTTACCATTTTTCTTACTTGTTGTCTGTCATGCTATACAGCGCATGTATAGAACATTGGTATCATGATGAACATCTTGCATAACGAAGCATTGAGCCATTGGAAGATTTTAAGACAAAGAGAAAAATTTAGAATTATCTTTTTATTCAAACGTTGGAACAAATTCTAAGATAATATTATGAACACAACAAGCGCAATATTTTCCACAAAATGTTTAGATTTTTGTAAATATCTAATTAAATGCTGGTTTTTTTTAACCAGGTGATTCGATATAAGTTTAATCTAGCGTGTTAATCCGCTGAGTCTGAAAAAACTTAAAAATATATTCCTCATTATCTAAAGTATGTATCAACTAAAATTCTGTTTAGTTCAAAGGCAAAAAAAGAGTTTGACCACTCTAACTACAAGAAAATTCGTTGAAACCAAATATAGTAAAAGTGAGAAAGATCCAATTCTTGCTTTCGCCTAAGTAGCGAAGGAAGTAGAATGAACTAGGTGGCGAGAAGAAGAATGTAACTAGAAAAAAAAAGAGTACTTTTTAAATCAGAGGAAAATGCATTGATTTTACTAAAACTCCTTAACTGTATTCAGTCGTTGTTTAATTTTTTTTTTTAATAATTTTATTGACCATCAATTTCTATCCTAACCTTTACCATATTCAATCTTAACTTTAGATTCAAAGTAGCTCTAAATGACTACATCGTCTCTGTTTTTTTTTATAGTTAACCTACGATGAAATATTGAATCCTTCACTAGTTGATTGATAGTAGAAGTGTTAATTTAGATTTATTTTTATTTTTATCAGAAGTTTAACATCAATAATTATCATCGAGTGAAGTTAGCCTGACTGTTTTCAAATGTCCATGTAGGCCAATAATCAGAACTGAAAATAATGAGAATATAACTCCTATTTGATTTGAAACATATAGTCAACTATATGAAGATACAGAAGATTTGAGAAGACGACTGCGTCAAATCAACGACTATGTTGTTTTTTTTTACAATAAGAGCGTGTTTTTTTTTTGAGTAATGGTGCATATATGGCCTTAGATGTAAGGTGACTATACTTTGTCTTCACACACGCAGATCTGAGCTCAAGTAATAAGATACTATATATATGTAAGATTAAGGTATAAACAGGGTGTTGTGAAATATTCTGAGGAGCAGTAAGTTTCTATTGCTTTCTTAAATTCTTTTTAGAGGAAGTAATTTTACCACATACACTTTTGGTGCGCCGCTCATACTCTTAATATAATCAGAAGGATAACTTAAGAAAAAATGTGGTATTTACCAGGTAGACAAAAAATGACTCATAAAACTGACGTTCGCAATATTTATTTATTCGTTCTGTTTGCTTGACTCGATAACAAAAATCGTCATTATATTATATTGACAAAATTGTATTTATATTCTTGTCCTTCATCATACTATGTAAAAGACAGGTATCTCATAACAAGTAATCAAAAAAGAGAAAAACAAAACAAAACAAAACAAATTAAAGTATAGTAACTTAGAAAGAACAGAAGAAGAAGAAGAAAAAAAACCTAAACGTTAGAGAATGACGTTTGAAACAAAATTAATGGCAAAATTTGAAGATCTTTCAGATGAAATTATTATTTCTATAATCGAATATTTATCATTAGAAGATTTAATTTTAATATTTGGAAAATTAAATACTCGATTATCATATATTATTTTTGATCATCCATGGACTCAACATCAACTTTATCTTCAAACAATAGATAATAATACTTTGAAAAAAAAACTTGATTTTATTGAAAATATGAAATTAACAACAAGAATTTCATTGATTAAAATTCGTCCATTTAGTATTTATCGTAGTATTGAAATATTTAATCAATATAAACCATTATCTAATTTTGTAAATTTACAAGCTTTATCTTTAAACAATATTACACTAGACGAAGTAAGTTATTTTAATTTTTAATCTTTTTAATTTCTAGACAAATATATATATATTCATGAATGTTATATTTTAGTATTTAAAAACAAGTTGATCTCATAATATTGTACTTAAAAATTCTAATTACAATGACTATTTCTCAAGAGCATCATAAACTATTTCAGTTTAGATCTATCTATGTGCAAAGTTTCAAGTCAGAATTTGGAAGATACATATTCCTGAAGAAGACCACGATATCGATTTAAAACTTTATAACAAATGCACTATATCCGTAGTAATAAGCTAAGAGTTCGAACTCTTTTTAGGATATTCATAGTTCATTCGAGTCTACATGATGCCATATAATCTCCATTCAAAGGTGATTAATCAGTTACTCTGAAGCCGATTCCTTGATTTATTTATCAATAGATTCAAATCGATTTATCCTGGCATAGTTCTAAAGTACATCATTGTATCAATGAATTTTAACATTTTTTCGTGCCAATGATCATTGAATTCATTTTGATTCAATTTTACTTGTTTTCATAACTCTTAGTAACTTATGAGTTAATAGATAATCATTTTATTTAGTTCATAGTCACAATATTGATTGTTCATGTCTATTTCAATAAGTAATTCATCAATTCTCTTTCCACTATTGAAGTTTTTTTTTTTTTACATTCAAATGATTCTTTTCGGTAATGTCAATTACTGGAAATGCAACGATGATGGTATACCGATCTAAACATGTACGTGAATACATGATCATGATTTAGTCCTTTTTTTTTTGATAAAAGTCAACTATTTTCTTGAAATAGACTTCCGCCTACTGGAAAAGTCGAAATAAATGCAAGGTTATCATACATTCACCCTTATTCTTTACACAATAGATTCTATAGTCTATTATTTTTCCATTAGCATCAGTGTCAGTTGAGTTATTATAAAACAATCATATCGTTATAGTTTGAAATACATTATGAGATGCCTTTTGGATAAGTTTAAATTAAATAACAAATCCTATGTAAAGTCATATCTATTCTTCAAATGTATGTTCTATTTGATAGGTTTCTTTTTGAATGTGTAATACAATCATTAAGTTTTCAAATATAAATTATTTTTTAGGCTGAATCAATATTTACTTCAGAATGTTTATCAAAATTAAATAATCTAACTCATTTATGTATTATTTTTTCATTTGGAATTGAACAAAATAATTATAGTCAACGATTTGAATGTTTAATTTCAAAAATTCTTATTCATCCATCACTTCGATATTGTATTTTTCGTACAGCTCAATCACTTGAATTTTCACAATTACAATCATTATCTTTTGTTGAATATCTTAATATTAATTATTGTAATTTTCAAAGTTTATATACACTTTTTAAATTTACTCCTTATCTTCGTCATTTAACTGCAACTATTGCAACAATTAATGAATTAAAAACTGAACAAATATCAATACCTTCTTCAATTAATTCACTTAAATTAATATTATGTATATCTTTATATGATGAACTTACTAATTTCTTAAAGAAATTTTCAAAATTACAAAAATTAAATATTATTACATATTCAATTATTGAACCATTAACATTTACATCATCTTGGTTTAAATTAATTACAGAATATTTACCTTCATTAACACAATTTAGACGAGAATCAAATGTAGCTTTAGAAAATATTGCTTCATATGTTGAACCATTTCATTGGCCAAATGGATGGCAATTCAATGAAAAACGTATTGCAAATGGTTCAAATTATTCTCGAGTTATAATCATTAATACAAGATTTTAAATTTTAAATAATAATTTATTTTTTATGAAATAGTTTCTTTTTTTTTTATCAAAGATAATCTATTTTGACTAACTAAAATAATACTATTAATTAGTTAAACATATTCTAATATATATATATATATTTTAATCAGGATTAATAAAATACTTAAAATCTATTTTCTTCAATAAGAATTTAATATTTTAAATTTATTTAATATCAAAATTGATTTTAATGAACGATAATATTTGATCATATTTCTTCAATTAAATGATTGAATATAAATTTTTATTGAAAATATATTAAATAGAAAAATCTCAAGGTTTTTAACATAGTCACATATTATTATAACATTATCAAAAAAATGAATCTTTCATACTTTTAGATTTCCTATCATATAAGCAATTATAATATATTACAAGGGTTGTTCATTCTTATTCAAAACGTTCGATTTTCAATTCTTTTATTATTCTATCAAGATTTTATCAAACGAGAAGATTTTCTCTTCATTCTATAATTTTTCAATCTATACTAAAAATTCATCAACTTATTGATAATATTCCAATTGATAGAAAACAGTTAAAAATTAAATAAAGTGTATTATGTAATACCATTATTTAATCTGGATTCAATCAAACTACATAGAAGATTTTTTTTTTCTATTTTTTTCTTTGTTCTTTTTCAATGCTGTTCATATTACATTTTAACATTAACAATGTGACATTAAAATGTTTATTAATACGAAATTTTATCTGAGAACTTTAACAAATATTTTCATATACTTGTGAATTACACATATTGAACATACGACAAATACATACTCATATATTTTTAGTATCTAAGTATGATTGATATTTATTTTTTTTTTTTTGTAATTGATTGATCAATGTTTTCAATTTTCTCGTCAAAACTAGCCATAATTAATTATACATTGTTATTATAGACAACATTAACAATTTTCAATGGCAATCAACAGTATCATTTTTATAATGTATGGCTCTGTTTTTTCATTTTCTTTTCTTGTTTAAATTATTACGGTCTGAACCTTGGAAAATAAACTATAAAAATTGATGTCTCGTCTATTGCTCAGAAAAAGAAAAAGAAATTTCGAAATGATAATCATTGTTTAAATATTTTCAATTAGTAATGGATTTTAAAATGTTTTGGCAGCTCAAGGTGGTATCGTCTATTGATAACACTAAAAATTATTCATTCTTCTTTCCAAACTATATAACCACCCTCCCTTTCCCTCTCCTTCTGCGCTTCCTCGATTTCAGTCTTCTTCAACCTTCATTATTGCCTTGTATACGCATCCATGCTTCTATGACGAACATCAATATCAGTAAGCACCGGTTTTTCATTGAACAAATCAAGTTATATTAATCAATCAGATATAATTCTTCTATATACCCAATGTATTTTAAAATTGATTCATATCATCTTCGATGATATGCATACGTGCTAGTATTTACCTTCAACTTTCTTTTCAAACCCAATATCTATTTCATATTGGAAAGAACAAGCTATAAAAAAAAAAAAGAAAAAAAGAAGAAAAATATATTGAACTGATTACATTTGACAAAAGAATAAATATCGTTGGATATATCTCAAATATCGAATTATCTTTATGACATACACATCTTTGTCTCCTATTACCATTTTAAAATACATATGAAGACAATGAAACAACGATGATGAACACCATCGGTAATATATAGTCTGTATATGAAGGTGTCAATTGTCACATACATACAAACATGTTATATAATAATAGGTGGGAACACATAGAACTACTGTCTTTCATCATCATCATCATCTCTGTTTGAATATAGTTTTAAACCTTCTTCATTCTACTTTCTTTTTTCTTACATGACTTGTTGGTTTTTTTTTTGTGAAGGTATGAAAATGTATATATATATATATATAAATGAAACTGAGCGACCCGTTTGTCAGTAATATCGACCTCGATCTGCTTATTCTATGTGAGTCGTTCGAGTAGAAAAAAAAAGAGGCAGGCCAACAAGAATATACTTATGTAATGAATGCTTCCTTTTCTTTTTTTTTGTCACTGTTATTGCCCTGTTTAAGCTCTCATTCGTTTGGTCATTATAGTAGGACACTAACCACGACAATCGCTTGTCGTTGATGTTATTGAACAAATACGTAAAGTGGTGGCTCTTTCTTTTTTCTTCTTCTTCTCTCTTTCTTTCACTTTTTGTTGAACATTATGTCATCTGTGTATGTGTGTAAGGCCTTTTTTTTTCTCGTTGCAATGTTCAACTGTTGAAAATATAATTAAGAAATGATCCGGTTACTCTACAATAATAAGTATGTACTTGATCATCATTTTTCCGTTATAGTCAATTTCACTCATTTCTATATATATATGAAGTATAGGATATCTTTTGTTTTTTCTTTTTTGATATTCTTCTTCGTCAATATTTAGATGAAATAAGAAAAGTAATTTTAAACTAAAGTAGACACTTCAATCAGACAAAATGCATAAGTAGTTGCAGATAGTTACGTGTCATTTTAAATACTTAACGTAATAGAATTCTCTTTTTAAACGATAAGATTAAACATTACGACAAAATACCACTAATGCTTCACTTGTCTAAGCTTAAACAATGATGAAAGATTAATTAAAGATAATACGTTGTCCATTGCTGGTTACATATATCAGTGTCGGTACTATTGTTACTATCATTGAAAAGAATGAAACATAATAATAATATTTAATAAGAGCTAAATTCTTGCTATAAACTATATCTATTCTTATTTTATATTATGAATTGATCTCAATATCTTATCATATAGCCCATGCTACTCCAAACATAGTGTTATATCAGTCCTTTTTTTTTTTTGTTTTACATTTATATTATAGTACGATATGTAGGTATTACCTTTATTTATTTATCTCTCAGGTTTTTATCATTTCATTTTAAATATTAATTGAAAAAGAAAAAACAAAATGAAACTTCCTGAATATACTAAAAATGATACAAATTTATTCATTGATGAATGTAAAACAACATCATGTTTACCTAATAATTATCATTCATCTATTCAATGTCATAGTTTACATGAAGAAAATCTACCACGTTCAATAGATAATAAATCATTACCATCTGAATATATTTATACGGAATTAGTTAAAAATATTGGAAATAATGAATTTATTGAAGAAAAACGTTTACTTAAACGATCTAGTTGGAGTCCAAATGAAGAACAGCCAACATATGGTTTACCACCAACTGGTAAACGAGCATTTGGTGAACAATCAACATCAAATAAAAATTTTAATCGAGTACGTATGAGACCTAAAACAACAAGACATTATCAATTACAACAACCAAATCAAAAAATTCTTGAACGACCTTATTCATGTAATGACAAATATGATCATCTTTTAATTGATAAACTTTCATATTCAACAGTGGTAAGAAATTTGCATAAGACTTTTTTTTTTTCATGTTAACATTAATAATGACAATATCTAGTGTTAATAAGAGTTCTATATTACATAAGAAAAATGTCTTTTTTTTCCCCTCTTAATAGAAACATAAAAATAAAGTAAGATGATTTATTAAATCTATATTGTTTTATAGAATCATAATGGAAGTTTGTCAAATGAACGACGTGAACCATCACCAACTCCATCATCATCTTCAATTGATTCAGTATTACAAATTAAAACACGTGCTTCACCATCATTTGATAGTAGTGATTTTATAAGTGATACATCTACTGCATCATCAATGACAACAGTAACATCTTTAAGTTCAATTATGTCTTCACGACAAAAAACTCCTATTTATGATCATATGTGTTCATCAAAAACACGTCCATTGATAAGTGAATATCAACAAACAGACTTAAATCATATCGATTACAAATTTTTATCACCAGTATTAAATACAAACACTACTCCTTTATCGTCTCCAATTTCTTCTTTACCATCATCATCATCATTCTCCTCCTCGTCCACCTCTTTCACTTGTCCAAAAGGTCATGAAGAGTCGTCGTCGCCATCGCCGTCTCCCATAGGGTCATCTTTAAATCAATATGCAAAGTTTACTTTGCAAACACCAACTACTGATTCATCTCGAGACGACAATGGTCATTCAACATCAACATATGGTATAATGAATATGTCAATGTCGTCTAATCGTTATCATAATCAAATACATCCGTCAAATTCTATCATCACATCAAATTCTACAATGACAAATAATAATGATGGATTAAAATCACGACGAGAACAAACAAATTCGTAAGTGAATCTCATATCAATCTGTCTATATTTACTTTTTCTCTTATGAAATACTAATGAAAAAACATATATGACAAATAATTTATTAATTTATATATATATATATATAAATTTTCATTCACATTGCATTATTTTTATAGGAAAATTGCTGGTAGTAGTTGTTTAAAATCACAAAAAAAAGATAATAATAATAATAATAATAATAATAATAAAAATCAAACAAAAAAATCTGTTCATTTTGGTTGGCATTTGCCTAAACAGATTCGATCAACATCACCATCAACACATTGTAATTATCACCCATCGGTCACAGTTACGTCTTCATCTTTGTCTATAGGGAACAGTAATAGTGATAATGACATACAAACGAAGAAAAATTATGGTGAGAAAGTTGAAGAAAAAGAAAAAATTGAAATAACAAGAAGGACAATCAAGACTACTACTGCTCCATTGTCCACGAATACAATTCATCGTTCTTTTTCTCTCTCGCCATCACTACTCTCAAAAGAAGAGAATAACGATAGTCGAAGACATAGACAAGAAAAAAAAGAAAATGTCGATGAACTAAATCGTACTACTACTACTAGTGGACGAGCAACAACTGCTGCAACTCACTTTCATTGTACTACTAAAGCCGCTACAGTCACTTTCAATGACGGCAACCAAAATATCTCATCAACAAAAGAGCCAAATGGCACGAACAATTTTAATACAAGTATGAATGACCTTTTCTTTTTCTTTTTTTTTGAATAATTATACATTGACACAATCTATCATTGTAATTGTTAGGTGGAAATTTAACCTATTCGTCAGCTGATAAACAGATGCCTTTGAATACTTTACTTGTTAAAAATTCTACACTCAATCCACACACAACAACAACAACAACAAAAAAGTTTACTAGTACTGGAGGATTTTTTAGTTTTATTAATCGATCAAATAATAGTCATAATAATAACAATAATAATAATTCATCATCTAATAATGAAAATAAACAATTAAAACGTACATCATCCACTCAACAAAAATCTAAACAACATAAAATACATGGCAATAAACGTCTTAGTGCTGATATTGATACATTGCGGTCTCCTTTAATATCTTCAAACAACTTATCGAAAGGAGATATTGACAAGGTTACATTGAATTATCAAGAAGAACGGCAATCGATGACAGATAACAATACTCATATCCGTTTTTCTTGTAATACCAGTAAGTATATCAAAGAAGGCCAATAAAAGAGTTTACTATTGATGACATACCCGTGAGTAGGAGGGGCGTATTCCAAGGTTCTTCTTTTATTTTTTCTTTTATTTTTTTGCTTCATATAATCGTCATTTAGATTCATCTATCCCACTGCGTACAAATACTAAAATGAATAGAAGTTCAACATCAATGTCAATGAATCCAACAACGATAACTGTAAAATCGGATGAAGGTGATTCATTAAATAATGGTCTTCTATTTAAACCTGTTCAATCAATTGAAAAAGAACCTTTTTTTCTTTCTCCACTAAAATCATTATCGAATAATAACGAATCTTTATCATCACCATCAATTGGTAAGATAATGCAAACATCAACACTTATTATTTCTACACCTCCACAATATCATTATTATCTTTATCCGCCAACATCATCAATATCAAAAAAAAATTTAACAACAAATCGTTCTATATCAAATATTAGTATGAATAGTATAAGTACAAATTCATCATCATCAAATGCATCATATGAATCTCACATACATGATTTTGATGAAGATACATTATCATATTCAACATATTCAACAAATAATCAAAAAAATATTCATCAATTTAAATCATCTTCAAAAACAAAACCTGTTATACTTTCGGATTGTGTTCAAGCTTTTTGGCCACCACGACCATCTTCACCACCATCATCTATATTGAAAAATATTCCTGAACAAAAAATAAAGGCATCAACTATCGAACAAGTAAGTTCATTGGATCAATCATTTCTTATTAAAAAAATAAAATAAATTTAATTCGTAATTACATATCTCTAAATTGCTAATATTGACTCATAAAATATAAGTTTTTTTTTTTTTTTTAAAATGAGAATATAGCACAGCTATAAACATCTGTTTATTTCATATATATATCTGTTTGTCTACGATATTTAGAACAAACATTCCAATTCAATCAATCACAAACACAAACAATCCGAATCGAATATAATACAAAATAATGTTATTAAGTATGTGTCACATATTCATTTTATTCGATAAATCGAGCAAATATTTTATATCAAATCATTAGAAACCTTATTTTTTTTCCTCTCTCTCCTCTCGTTTTTTTTTATCATGTACTGCATATAAAATGAGTATTTCATTGTAGTTCGACCTATAATGATGATTCATCATCTATAAACAATGGTAATCAAACAGATGTTTTACCACCTACAACATCATTAATATTAAATAACAAAAATGAAGTTCGATCTTATTCCGAACCAAATTCATTTACTAATGGTTGCTTACGAATAGGTATGAATTTATTAATAATAAGCATTGATCGCACAACTATTTTTGAAATAGAAAAAAGAAAAGAAACAAGCTTTTTTTTTTTTTTTTTTATTGATTAACAATGTTATGTGTTTTATGACATTAGTCGATGTTTTAGAAATGAGTAATACTTAATTGTATTTGAATATAGAAGTCTTTTTTTTTTTTTTTTTGATGGTGCCAATTTTAACATATCGAAATATTTTATACATAGGACAATGAATAGATTTCTTTTTTTTTGAATTCGTCTTTAATGTTATAACTTGAACATGCAAAAAATTTTCGTAAGTAATCAATGATCTATTTTTAAGCTTTACAAAAAAAAAAACGTAAAGAAATCAATTTATTACTTTTTGAAAGACTCTATACTTTTAAGTATCATTTGATTGTGTACCTGGATTATAAATAAGCTTTTAGGAATTAAGCTACATGTTTTTTGTTGTTAAAATATATTTGCATTTGAATATTTATCGTCATAAAATGTTGATAAGTATTATACGAGATTATATATTATTATGACTGACATAGTCAATATTCAATAAAAAAAATCTTCATTATCTAAAACAACAACAACATTTCGAATTCTTACAAAATGTGAATTTTGTTTTTTTTTACTATTTGAAACATGAGATTTGTTTTTTCTTTTCTTATGCCATAGATTTTTAATTAAAAACAAAATATGAATCATAAAATATCCGTAGAAGCCAACAAAAAAAAAAGAACGGAGTTTTCTTTTTTATTGATTACTTTACTTTTTTTTTCAAGGGGAAAAAAAAGAGAACATTTCTTTATTTACTTAAATAAGATTTTAGATATCTTGTTTTTTTGTTTTTTGTTTTTGCCTTCATTTTATTTGATTATATCATTTTTCGATCTTATTATTAAGGAAATCCAAATTATTTTTTTGCTTTTTATTTTTTGTTACAATCTATATCAAAAAAAAAACCGATACGAAGGAGAAAAATACCTTTATTTCTTTCATTTTATCGCCTTAATAATATGTTCTTTCGTTTTATTTTATTTTACATATGAGTGTGAGTGTCTGTGTTATATATATATATATAAGATCGTCAGACTGCATAGATTTTCTTTTGGTTTTTCTTTTTTTTTAGCAAGTGATACTTCTCTTGAAGATACTCAAGCATCGTATAGTGAGCGTTTACGTGAAAAATCTCGTTCAATAAAAGCAACAAATCAATTAATATCAATGAAGAATAATAATAATAATAATTCATTATCTCGATCAAGATCAAAAGATACTCTAGAAAATCAATATGAAAATTCAAATTCAATAAATAAAAATATTTTAAGACCAAAATCAGGTAATCAAGTACGTGTACAATCATTATTTTCACCAACTCGTCATGAAATATTAGATGATTTTCAATCTAAACGACAATTTTTTGAAAATCGTACTTATACAGATTATACTCCAACAACGACAACAACAGCAACAAATAATAAAACTTATTCTTTATCAACATCAAATAATAATTATCAACGTTCTGAAACAAAGTAAGAAAAATAAAACATCTATGATATTAATATCCAAAATAGTTTCTCATCATTCTATTCAAACATTTTGTTCTATTATATATAATTCTTCGAATACTTTTGTAAAACATAATCGAAAATAATTGTTGAAGTATATAGAGAGTAGAAATTAGTATCCGTTAACCTCGTATATAAAATGACAGTCATTACCTTCGAAGCGTCACAGTTAATAACAGACGAAATCGATAGACACGTCAGAAACGGCTCATTACCAACATCTCAGCACGGCTGTTCGTTATAGACATCGTAGCTGTACTTTCCTCTCTCTCGCATCATAGACTATGACTGACATTGTTAATATACGATGAAAGACTGCATATATCAATAATGTCTCGTTATAATATCTGAAATACTTCCGAAGGATTAAATAAAAGGATGATGAAAAACTGTGTCCTAGAATAGATAAAAAAAAACAATCTTTATAAGATTAGTAACAACAACACTACATTGTATTTCAAATTTTAATCCTATAGGGATTGCACGAATTGGTTTTTTTTTTGATATACCGTATAAACAGAAATAGCGAAAACTATAGTGTTTCGCATTTTTTGAAGAAATGTCCCTGTTTCTTCGGACAAGTACACTCAATTGAGTTGAAACATTGTGCTATGTCAAAAACTATTGTTCTCCTGATTTTTTTGTAGCTTTTACAAATATAAAATGAGAGGTAGACCTTTTTTTCGCCAGTTTGATGCCAGTATCTAATAGAAGACAGCATCCGGAAACTTTGATTCCATAGCAACTTTTATTCTACTCGTTACAGATCTGCCTGTCTTGAAGATTTCAAATTTTTCGGATGAATTATTCTCTAGAATAAAAACTCCTTAGGTTTTGAATGCAGATAGGAAATAATCTTGAATTGAATGTATCTATATAAATATTTAAGTACTCGTGTCAACACCGATTTTTATACATTGTTTCATTATTGATAATTTACTTTTAAGTTGTGAAGGTAATCGAACACTAACCAATTGTTAATCAAATATAAATATTATCTTATCGCAAATGTACAATATTTTAAGCAACAGATAGATACATTCATACAAGATGTATAACAATGAAAGAAATTTACTAAAGAATACGAGAGAAAGAAGATATATAATACATATAGAAAGAAAGAGAACGTATATATGCATTCATGCGTGACAGTACAATGATAAAAGATATAGATGGAATATGTAGATATGACGATGTCACAGTAACGATAGAAAGAATGAGATGATGGATAAGTGATGACGTCATTTAATAAAGTCATATGAAGTAAAGACATTCAAAAATCTTTAGAAACCTATGACACTTCCTATTATCTAATTGTGTTATAGATCTGTCATATACAGTAGATATGAATATTGTTGAATACTGAATAGAGTTAAGTTTGGTATTCATACAAATCTAATTATTATATTTTATTAATGTAAAACGAAAGAAATTTAAATTTCTTAGTATAGCATAGGGATGCAGCGGTGACGGTGATCAACGGTTTTAAGCAGAACGCTGCATTGGTCTAGATATGCATGTATAGAAGAATAGTGAATACATGACAAGATTAATGTTTTTTTTCGCTTGCAAGAATTTATAAAATTCAGCTATTTTCTTGAAATGGTCTTTAACGATCTAAACATTTGAAATTAATCGAAGATCACCATAGTTTTATCATGTGTTCAGTGTCTTTCGGAGTTTGTCAGGTCCAAAATATTTGGACTCGAGTCCTGCACCAATCCGATAAGTTCTACCATTAGTCTATACGTACATGTCTCATTGGAATTGTAATGTTTGTCTAGTGAAATGCAAATTTTGAGTCCAAATTCAAAATAGCGATTTGTGTCAATCCCCGAGAAGAATTACAATTAGAGAATTAGTTTTTTTTTTTCGTTGTCGAAATATATTAAAGAATAAGTGTTCTTAAAATCGAATCTAGATTAATCAAAAAAATTTTGCATTATTTTTAAATTTCATTTAATAAATTGTTTGTTGGAGAATATAATCAAATTAGTAAGATTTATAAATCAAAATTAATATAGAACAAAACAAAAAGAATAATAATAATAATATTTTAATTATCATCAATTTGTTCATATAATTTAGTTAAAAAAATTTGTTTATCCCATGAATATAATTTTGGTTTTGTTGTTAAACTTGTTGTTGTTGATATATTAGTCATATTAGTCGTATTAAATGGTCTTGTTGAACCAGTTGTTGTCATTGTTGTTGTTAGAATCGGAATAGGATATGGTTTAATAAAAACAAATATTAAATAAATTAATGCTTGTAAAAATAAAATACATATTGTTAAATTAACAAACCAAAGTTTTTCAGCTAAAAGAATTCGTCGTTTAAAAAATAAATAAATACATATAACAAAAAATATTGATGCAACTAAACTAATTATAATAATATAAAATTTTTTTTCTTCTTGAGCTTTTATAATTGCACATATTATTGATATTATACATATTAAACCAGAAAATATTAAAAATAAACGTGTAAAACGCTCGTGTTCTGGACTGACATCATGATACAGAGGATCATTTGCAGCGCTTGAGTTGGGCATGACTACAAAAAAGAATGATACATGCAGAATATGTTATCTTTTGTTTATCATTCTTTTTTAAACATATAGAAAAAAAAAAATGATTTTATCATTTAGACAACAAACTCCTCCTGACTCAACGATAAGAACAACAAAATATTTTGATACATTTTCAACTCAAACAACATTTCCACCAACGATCTATCGAAAACCAGTTCGAATTGTTAAAGCTGTACAACGTTCGGTACAATCACCATCAATAAATCATTCTACAACACCGTTATCAACAAAAATGAATTCAGAAAATGATTTCAAACCATTATCTTTACCATATACAAATGAATTAATAATCAATAATCAATATCATCGTAGTTCAGATTATATAAGAAATTTATTTCCAATACCTGATCGTCTTAAACGTAAATGTTCAAAACAAAATTTAACAACAATCAATAATATGAACGATATACAAACAATGTTCAATGATAATATTCGACAAACGGTATTAAAAAAAAAAAAAAGAAGAAAAGAAATAAATTTAAAATAAAATTTGCTTTTAATTCTAGGAAGATCTATTATTAAATTTAAAAAGAAATTTAGAAATCTTACAAGAAAATCAACGTATAATCAATGATGAAATTGAAATCAATACAATACTTGGTACAAAAGTATGAAATTAAAAATCAAAACAAAAGGAAAAAAAATTTTTTTTTTTTTTAAAATTTTTTTCTTTTAGTTAATTAATATAATTGAATCAAAAGCTGAATTAAATGAAATTGAAAAAGTCAAATTACATATTAGTGAAATTGATACAATTACATCAATACTTCTCAAACTTAGTAGTCGATTGGCTAAAGTTGAGAATGATTTATTGATGATTACAGATGATAATGCTCATACAAAAGTAAATTTTGTATAAATATGTTTTCTTGTTTTAGCAATGCCATTTTAAAGAAAATAAAATGAGGTGTCGCCGCATTTTCTATACCCTTCCTTTTAACAGTTAAAGGTATCACAAAAACTGAGAAAAAGATGGTTTTTGTGATACTAATTATGTAGGACTCGGTAAGACTAGTGGCACCCTAAAAAAACTTCAGACCCATACCTTGCCCTTCTGGATAGTAGCATAATTAGAAAAAAATGTGCAGGAGAGAATGCTCAGTTCTCTCTCTAGTCTCCGTCCAGCTATACCACTACTTTCGATGTTAGAACCACCATTTTACTGAATTGTGTCGACTATTGACAAGGTATCTGATTAAACGAACATTGACTTTTTGAGTAAATTTTACTGATGGCTTTAAAAGTTTTATTCATAAAAACAAAAAATTTGATGTTCTCACCTTTATCTATGATACATGAAAATTCCTTCATCATTCAAGATCTGTATTATTCGACCTTTCTTCATGTAATGTTTGTCTGAATTGAAAAATTCAATAAAATGATCCTAACTTAAGAAGATGAACTTTACATATTGTACTCTTTATTTCAGGCAAGTTTACTTGAACGACGTGAAAAGATTCAAGAAAAACATAATGAAGCAAAATCATTAAAAGATGGTATTGATCGACGTAGTCGTTTAGTAACAAATATTCTACGAAAATATTTTTCTGATGAACAATATGATGATTATGATCATTTTATACGAATGAAATCAACATTATTAATTGATACAAAAGATATTGAAGAAAATATTACTTTTCTTCAAAAACAAATTGATACTTTACTTAATAAATCATCATTATCATCACCATCATCATTATCATCATCATCCGTTGTAAATAATCAACAATATTCATCAACATCATCAATATCTCTTTTTGAAAATTTACAAAGATCAAATTCAACAAATAAAGTTGATAATTTACAAACAAACTATTTTAATACTATATCGAGTACGGCCTAGTCAGTCGTCTTTTATTCAGTACACATATTTATTTTTTAAAATCTTATTCAAACATCAAATTATGTTGTGTCTTGCGTGTGTGCATGTGTGAACTGGCATATATATATATATAGTGAACAATTTGTATTTGTATCGTTCGGTTCCTTTTTTTTTTCTTCTTGTTTTCGATGTTGACCGGTTTTCTTTATGGCTGTTGTGCGTAAATAAATTAATGGATTGATATGGGGTGTTATTGAATTAGTCTTATACGGCATATTGGTAAATATTTGTTCCAGATAAATGTAAAAAGAAATGAGTGACTCTTTTAGATGATATCTATTCAGTTATGATAATAGAAGTTTCTAGAAAATAGTTAATGGTAATCATTAATAAGACATCATGAATAATTAAGGTCGTCTTATGATTTAAGAGATGTATACTTGAACACGTACATTTTAAGTGAGTAGAGAATATGTATGTTAGAAGATTTTTTTACATCTTTGCAAATACTATACAATATATCGAGGTTTTAATTAAGTTACTAGTCGAGGTTGTAAAGTTTAATCTTATTAGTATAAGTTGTCCCTGACAAAAAAAGTGAAGTAACATAACATGTTTGATGAAAGTCATAATGACACTACTCATCTTTCTTCGTAATGACATTTTTTTTTTGTGAATAAAGCCTAATGAGCAAACCTTCTCAGATTCTTCCTTCCGATGATACGGATTGTTTTTTTTTGCCTATAAATACTACATAGTATTCAAGCGACATTCATAAAATGATTAGAGTTAGCCGATCTATTGAATTTTTTATATGTCTATTTGTCTGAGACTCCTGTAGTTCCATCTAGAAAGCACCTCCAATTGAAGGTCTTACATATAATAGCATGTATGAAAAGTTTCATAGTTTAAAAACATCATAGCTCGAAGATATGAAGTCTTTAAAACTCTGAAAATTTTCATACAAACTATTCTATGTAAGACCTTTAAATGAAAGTAGTTTCAAGATAGAACTACAAGAGTCGTTTGAAAATAGATCCTCTAACTCAAATCTTTTTAGAATTTTCATTAGGATATTATATAGTATCTATAGTAAAAAAAAAAAAGAATCATTGAAATAAGTTTCCTTGTAAATCATTACTGAAAATTTGTCTTCCAATGCTAATACGATAGGCGGTGTTCTTATTATCATATCATTATTAACAGAAACAAATACAGTACAAGATGACCGTGTCATTTTGTTCTATAGGGCAAAATATACTAATCATGTTTTCGGCCTTATCTGCATAGTGGTGGGTTAAATCAAGCGTGACAATAATGAATAATACGATCGTTGATTACAAATATTAGGTTGATTTACATAAACAAACCGAATAAGACACATTCGATATATGGAAGTAAATAAGGAGTCGAAATAGAATTTAAGATAGAAATTATTCTACTAGTTCAATTCATATTTCAATTTGATATATAAATAAATAATGAATTTATTTTTAACTTTAGAAAATTTTGATATTTAAGTTCAATTTGTTTATTTGCAATCAATTATGGTTTTATTTTTTTTTATATAAATATCGAAACACAAAACAAAATTCTACAAAATAAATAAATACATTTTCTTTACATTATTTTTCAATAAATTATAATTTAAGAAAATATGCATATTATATGAAAGAAAATTAAGATAAATAGATTGAGGACAAAATATGACTGACAATTTGACAGATATATTTTGATGAGTAGAAAATGAATATAAGAATCGTGTCTATTCTATTGAAAATAGTAATCCTATGCTTAACTCTGACTCTTAATTAAAAAGGAATTTTTTGTTTTAAATAAATAAGCCTCTTGTCTTAATAAATGATCATCCATCATTTTCTTTTAGAAAATTAATACAATGGAACAAAGCATTTCTAACAGACGCAATTTGTTTTTTTTTTTTTCTCTTTTTATTTAATAATTATTTAATATCGATAAAGAAATACTATTGCGATTTAATATTTTCTGAATAACCAATCCATATCTTTGAATATTAGGTTAAATAAAAAAAGAATTTGCTAGAATTAATCATTCAAGAAGTAAAATAGAACAAACCATTTGACCTGTCAACTCATTACCATCATCAAAGAAGCATTTGTGAATACTTATTTTAGTATTTCTTTTTTCTTTTTTCTTTTTTCTTTTTTTTTCTTCTTTTTATAGTATCCATTAAAAAGTAATCATGAGATTGTATAGAATATCTTGAATAAAAAGAAAAATTTATAAAAAAAAAAGAAAAAGAAAAGTGCATTTAAAGGTGCTAAAATTCAAGTTGATATTAGATATTATGTTTATCGAAACTTAGAAACATTATCACTCACTAATCGCCTTCTAATTGTTCGACATAAGATATTGAAATTAGATAACATATAATCTATTGACATTCATTTAGGTCAATTGTTAAAAAAGAAAAACAATATAACCTCTGATATTATCATATATATATATATATATAAATATGAAAGATAATAATCGATGACATTTGTTTGAAATACATAAATTCTTATTTGTCAATGAAGCAGATGTGAAGTATTGAATTGATATCTCTTATAAAACTCCATCTGTCTTTTCTTTTGACGATGTCAATACAACAGAAGAAGAAGAAAAGAGGAAACTAATCAACATTAACTTTTTTTTTCTTTCAAGTAAATCAACAAAATATCATTTGATGCTTTTCTTTATTTTTTTTCTTTATATAAACTATTATAATATACATGCGCATGCTTTGAACTATTCCATTTGTTGAGTAAATCAAGATCAAAAAAGAAAAAAAATTTTGAGCACGAACATTATACATATTAGAAGAAAATAGATATATTTTATGTTAACAAATTTTTCTTTATAAATATGAAATATATTTCCTGAATACGTCAAATATCAATCTAGAATTACATTGATATATTCTTCCGATAGATAGATTTTCATACATTCTTGATTAATACTTCCGTTGAATAAAATCAATCAAAACGAAGATTTTTTTGTTTTTTGTTCGGCATAAAAATTATTTGATATATATATATATTTTTTTTTTATCTTTAGTTGAGCTCTTTATTTTCTTTTAGTGTCATACTGTGACCGACAGAAAGTATATAGACAATATTCCGACAAAGGACCACTCCCTTCTTGAGTGCCAATGTGTGTGTGTGTTTGATGATGGTGTCAAATATGCAAATATGAATTAATTCTTTCTCTTTTATGCTCATGATCGGGTGATTGTATAGTATACCGATTTCTTTGCATATATCAATATAATTTAAGTAAGCGTCATTTAGTATTCGATAAGATCTAATCATATAAAAAGAAAAAAGAATCGCCAGTCTCAACAGGCATTTATATATGGTATTAAAATTATTGCATATCTATTGATAAATATGAATAGATTTCAAAGGTGATTGATGGTACATTAAATCCACAAGTGAATTCAAACAGCGATTTATTATTTTTTTTTTTCTTTTTGGTTGACAGCTGGCGTTATGTAGAAAAATGGAATTATTGAACCATTGACATATATATATATATATCGTAGTTGAGAGTGGATTAACGATTGCTGACCAACTGATGAGAACATATGCAATGGAAAAAAAAAAGAGAATGTTAGCAAATATCAATCGATTGAAAAATTCATAATAACAACAATAGTAGGCTTATGGGATCTCTTTGTTTCTCGTTTGTCATCATATTGAATAGGTGATGCTCTTTAATACATATGTTCAATGTAAAAAAAAAGAAAAAATAAGCCAAACAAAATATTCACCTCATACATTTTCTTTCATGTCAATATGATCTATATATTTGATTAACTATTTTTTCAATTGAAAATTAATTAAGAAAATCTCATTTCTATGTGTTTACCTAAATCATTAATATTATTTCTTCGAACATATTTGCAAAAAAAAAAAAAAAAAAACTGTAAAGATAATTCTGTCAACACTCTACATTTTTTTTTCTTTTTTTTATTATTATCGTACCTATATTGATAAAAGCCTATGATTCTGATCGTATAGCAAAAAAACAAATTTTTTTTCCTTCTCTCTGTCAATCAGTAATTAACCTGTACAATTAATGACAGGTGGTGAGTTTGTTGCCTACAAACATATATATATATATATATATGTCTATTTTCAAAGGGAATCATTAGTAAACAGACATGATGAATTTGATAAGAAATACTATGAGTAATTGAATAGCAAGTCAGCATGTATTCTTACTGGATGAATTCATTTGAGATATAAAAAAGAAATCAGATCATTGACAAAAAAGAAAAACAAAACAAGAATATTTGTCATCATTCATATAAACTAATGTTTACAAATTGATTTGACAGTCTATTAATGGTTTTATTTTTATATTACAATAACCAGCTGAGAAGATCAATTAGTTCTTTGTCAAAAAATATGCTTAATATCAGTTACAATTGTTCTCGTTGTCTGTCATTTGTATAAAGAGAGTGATAATGAGTTTTTGTTTCTTCTTTTCCTCAATTGAAACATATATCGAGTATAGAAGAATAAGTAGAGACACAGCAACAAAAAAAAGCTTTTTTGTATTTCTTTTTTCTTTTTTTTTTTTTTTTTTTTTGTTTTTTAATGATGAACACTTCACAACACATGTGTGATCGATAGCCGTGGGCTTTCGCGTTCATCCTATGTAACATACATACACACAATCGAGAAATCTTTTATGCCGAATTCACATCATTATCGTGAACAGCATATACCACCCTCAAGCATTGAACGAGACACATGAGAAGTAGAGAAGAAAGAAAAAAAATGAGAGATTTCTTTCTTTTTTTTTTCTTTTTGTTCTTCTCTTTTTCTTTTTTCTTCATCAGATGAAGTTGTCAAAATACAACCAATCATTAGATATGACAAGCAGCTGTTTTCCTCTTTGTATAGAAAATAAACACAGAAGAAGAAAAAGAACGAACTGACTCGATATATATATTTATATATGGTTTGTACTTCTTTGGTTTCATCGAAAAATCAGCTGTGTTAAACAAGAATATAGACGAAGAGAGAAAAAGAGAAATATATATATAACCACTAGACGGAGAGAAAAAGAAAAAGAGAGAATAGAAAAAGAGAGAAAAAGAGTAACGGCTTCTCTACAATGCATTTCTAGTTCAGAGCGAGTGTGAGACGGCGACGACGACACTCCACTATCATACAAACTCAACATCCCTTTTCGTTGACATTCATATAGATAGAGGTAACCTCTTCAAGTATTTTTGCTATATTTATCAACAATTATAATTACTTTTGTTATTACAAAAACTAAACATACATGTGTACATATATAAATATATATATATATACAAAATTTTAGATTGAATAATAATGCCATCTTTAATATTGTCAACTCATCCATTTACACGTAATGTATCATGTCCAACACAAGATACATTATCATCAAGTAGAAATATATTAGTAAATAAAAAATATAGTTCATCAACAAATACATTACATTATTATTTTCATTCAAGAAATAATTCAGATATATCAATACAAGAAAATAATTCAAATTTAGTTGAAAAATTTAAAATAAATTTTATAAATTTTTTTAAAACAACAAATATAAATGAAAATGATTTTCAACAAAATGATTTTCAACAATCAACATTTATATATGATCCTGAAATTGATTTATCTGAAGAATATA